ACAAAAACGACGCCCAACTCCCATTGCCGGCACCCATCAATCCGTCTCAGCTTTGATGGTGAAGCCCAGGCCACTGGCGACCTCGAAACGAACACAGGAGCTGCCCCCTAAAAACTGGCATAACTACGCCCCAAAAAGCAACTTGGAACTTGAAAGGGACCAAGTGCCTGGTTCGGACCGTTGTCCGGGTTCTATGTTTGTTTCGGGTTTGCGAGAAAGTCTCCGCGCCACATCAAAACCAGCGCAAGTTGGAACGGCAGCTGGGCGGTTCCGAATCAATTTGGAGGTCTCCGTTTCACGCGGGTCTTGTTGCCACTCTCCATGGCCAGTCCTCTACACCAAGGAGTGCCATCATGTGGCAAAGTAGGGCAACCCCAAAATGGCGTGGCATCGGTAAATGGATTCACATGGACCAAGACCTGCGGCCCCTTTCCCGGTTCAGTTTTGACCACACCCATGCGGCCACGTCTTGGGCCACGTGAAGGCCATCATGCAACTAGCAGCACTAGCATCCCGCCCACTGGCGCTGGCGTAAGGCCGGTGCTAGGAAGACCACGAGGTTGGCTCCTGAGAGCAATGAACTTGGGGCTGAGCATACGCTTGTCCACCAGTTGGGTTGTTTTAAAGGCAAAGGGGCCCCCGTCCGTCGCCTGCTTGGAACCCAAATGTCGATGGGCATGCCCTGTCTGGGCATCTCAAAGGATGGCAGGGCCATTTCTCCTGGCGCTAAACTTCAAGTTGTGAGGACTTGTTCGAACAAATTGGGAACCCTCACTTTTGGCTGCCATCCAAAGGGTCGCAAACTAAAAGATTCGCTATTGGAAAGAAAGTGGCCCCTGTCTTTGTGGTTCTGGTTGGCTTCTGCTGGCTTGGCCATGGTCAGGGGTAAGAAATCTTGCCCTATCCATACAAACTCAGGGCCTTACAAGCATCCAACCAATCCAGGGAGCACCACGTGCCAAGCTGAACGGCCTGGACATGCGGTCAAGCAACCGGCCTGGAGATGCTGTCTCGCGAGAAACTGAAGCCTGAAAAGAATGTGCTTGGGGTGGGATATTGCCCACGGCGTTAAAGAACAATGCCCATTTTTTAAGGGTAGTTTTAGGGTCCCGGCGTGCTCAGTTCTAGAGAGAATTTAACAACCTCGGTTCGACCTTTCCAACACCTGCAAGCCCCACCATGAGCCGAGCTTCCCTAAACAAGTAACCAACCATAAACACCTTCGAGCCATTGGCACCGGATTGTTGCCCAAGCGAAGGGAAAACCACGCAGTTCCTCTTACATCAGCTGAATGTTTGGAGGCTTCAACCCATCGAACCCCTCTGGCTGCCACAAAACTAGGGACAAATTATCGGCTTTCAATAGACAAGTGAAATCTACCGCTTTGAAGTTGGGTGGCCTGATGTCGACACAAAAACAAACGTCTTTCATCACGATCCTTTGTTTCAGACTCTTCCCTGTCAAAGGGGTGCCCTTTCTTGACATAGGCTGATGGGATCGGAAGGGCTCAGCCGTGTCCGGGAGCCGCTTTTTGGTTGTCCAAAGCCGCACCCACGGAGTCCAAAAAGGGGGGTGTTCCTCAAATGCGGCCAGTTACCAGTTGCCAGATCGGGTTAAAGCAACCATCCAAGGGGATCCTTCCTGAGTTGGCAAAACGATCCCAGCCCCAGTTGATCAACTTCCCAAGGGGTTTTATCAAAAAATCCCCAGCTTTATCAAAATCACAAGTTCTCAACTGTGGCCCCCTCCAGTTGATCGGGTTCTTGATTCACCATCAAAGAGATCCCCAGATTGAATTACAAACCCAGATCCCATCTTGCGGCTTCGCACCCGCTCCTGTCATCAGGGACACCCGCTTCCCCGGGTCATCTTTCTCCAGCGCCGCCAGAGAGCTCTCCACTGCGAAGGCGGCGGCGCCTGTTTTGTATCCGTCTCCACAACCCGGGGGGGGATCCAAAAAAAGCGGAGCGTTTGAAGGGTCATTAAATAATATGGCTGCGGGTCAAAAATGGGGTAACCCCCAAATTCAACCTTGGTAAATGGAAATATGAACTAAAATCTGCGGTCTCCTGGTGATTTGACTTTGACCCATACCCATCCGTCTCCACAACCCGGGGGGGATCTAAAAAAGCGGAGCATTTGAAGGGTCACTAAATTATATGCGGAAGGTTGACTGAAGCGGGTGGCTCTAGAAAGAGCGAAACATGCACTAAAAAAGCGGAGCATTTGAAGGGTCACTAAATTATATGCGGAAGGTTGACTGAAGCGGGTGGCTCTAGAAAGAGCGAAACATGCACTAAAAGGCGTGGAGGCGGAAATGGGTGGAGACATGGCGGTTTCTTGGTGGTTCCCCTTGCAACACCGTAGGAAGACATCTGGAGAGAGAAAGGGCACTGAAGGAACGTCAAATACAAGGGCCCCTTTGAAGGTGCAAGAATCTCCAAATGGGGAATTTCGGCCAGCACCACCCAGGCTTGAGCAAAGCCAAGGGCTAAGAACC